GTCATCATGTAGAAGTGTAAAATTATCCATTCATTCACGTTTTTCATGATCAGTGTAATCATGTGATATGAGGACTGTAATGAACTGTTTCTCAGGACTGTGAAGCTTTGTGATCCACTCATATCAGGAGATTATAAGTTACACCTGGAGGCTGGAGGACAAAAGGAAACAAAGACCATATCAGTGTGTGTTGTAGGTGGGTTAATGTAACCTTTGTTACAGTTTTATTATTACTTAAATTTAATTATCATTTATATTTAAAATGTGAGATTGTTTGAGATCATCTGATTTTTGTTCCAGATGAACCAAAGTTCAACTTCTTGTTTAATAAGGATGATGGTACCCTCGACCTTGAGACTGTCAGTCTGGTGCCAGCAAACTATACCTGGATGTTTTGCTCTAAGTCCAATGACAGGTATGATTACCTGCACAGCCATTCAGCTCAGAGAGCATTTTAGCTCTGATTATTTAAACTCCATTTACTTTGTTTCACAGCTGCAGTGAAACTGACTCATCCTGGGATGAGGTCCCAAATGCATTTCAAATAGATTCTGATGTTTCCTGCTATAAGCAGATCAAGAGCTCAGTGAGCAAAGACGTGTTAAAAGGAGACCAATTCAGGTTTTGTCTGACAAACTCAGTTGGCTCCTGGTGCAAAACCCATTACATGATCACCCCACCTACACCTCAGCCCTCTATTGGTAATAACAAGTCTCATGAATATATTTACTGAAAATATTTGATGAAAAAAAAAATCTAAAAGTTGCTCACATTGTTTTGTTTTGTTTTTTAGGTAAGCCACCTGAGAAGAACTCCTTCCTGCTGACAGTATGTGTGGTTCTGGCTCTGGCTTTGACACTCGCCATCATGGTGCTCACGTATTTTGTCAAAAAGAAGGTAAATATAAATAAGGTGTATCAGCATACATAAAAATGCAAACACACACAAAGACGTGACACCAAACCTTTTGTGTTTCCAGCAGAAACCTCAATATCAGCCTCAGCTTCAGATGATCCAGATGACTGGACCCAGTGATAATGATTACATCTACATCAACTTCAAGGACTTTGAGTATGACAGGAAATGGGAGTTTCCCAGGGAGAACCTTGAACTGGGTATGAAGTACACCAAGTTACAGGGTTAAATATATGCATCAACACATAAAGGCAATGTAAAGTTTTACACTCAGTCAGTAAGAAGAAGTTTAAAAGAACATTTAAATATATGTAAAATTATTGATTTAGCTGCTAGCAGACCTCCGAAACCAAAGAACAAGAAGCCCTTCAAATGGTAGCAAGACGTACTTGAGGGCTTGCAAAAGACTGAAGCAGAAAAAGAGGAAAAAAGTTCTTCTACATAAATGTGTTATCTGTGAAATATTCAGACTTTCCTCTTTTCATTTTTTTATGAAGAGTTTTACCTTTCTGGGCCTCAAAGTGTTGTCTGAACTCAGCAATACACCACGTTTAAAGAGGAAATGTCTCTTTGCCGGAACTTCTAACCAGATAGATATGTGAAACATATGAAGGGGCCCCAACAGGACACCTCTAAGAGGCCACAACTCTTTGGTTTAATTTTGCAGAACAATCATTTGTCTTTAGTTTTTTTTTTTTTAATGGCATAAGCTCAATCTAAAAACTAACTTAATGTGAACACTTTTTTCCCTCATATTTCATGACAACGTGTTGATAAACGTAGTCAATTTAATATACAAAACAGACTTTTGAGTGTTTTTCTGTCCTCCTCAGGTAAAGAACTGGGCTCTGGAGCTTTTGGCATGGTGGTCCAGGCTACAGCTTATGGCATCAAAAAGCCAGGAGTCTCGCAGAAGGTGGCCGTTAAGATGCTGAAAGGTTGGTATTTGTTTCATGAGAAATGCAGAGCGTTAAAAGGGTTTTACCTAAAAGTGCTAATCTTGTACTTGACTCTGCAGAAAAACACCAGACTATGGAGAAGGAGGCTTTGATGTCAGAGCTCAAGATGCTAACTCACATCGGACACCATGCCAACATTGTTAACCTGCTCGGTGCATGCACAGACTCTGGTGCGTTTAACGCAGCAGATCATGCACATGCACAATAGTCATCAAACTTGGGCTCTTTCAGATAATAATAATCATGGATTGGATTTTATATAGCGCTTTTCAAGGCACCCAAAGCGCTTTACAATACCACTATTCATTCACTCTCACATTCATTCAGATGAGACCTACTGCCCTGGTTTCTGATTATTTGATGCTGTATATTAATGTCAAACAGAAGTTTTAAAATAACCTAATTTCCCCTCATCTAGGACCAGTATACCTGATTTTCCAGTACTGCTGCCATGGAGACCTGCTGAATTACTTAAAAAACAACTGTGAACGTTACCACAAGTCTGTCACCGACGCTTTTGACAAAGACCGTTTCAGAAGCCTCTACCACAACCTGCAGCTCAGGAAATGCCCCAGGTGAGACATGTTTCTGTATCAGTGCTGCCTTTTGTTTATTTGTTAAATTGTTCTTTGCAAAGTTGGTTTGGCATTACAGTTGTGTTACATTTGTCTTTTCTCAGTGCGCTGGAAGCACCAGTAGATAATTACGTGCCTATGTACACCACTAACACAAGGGGGCAGGAGGACATCGCGCTCCTTACCATCAACTCTGACGACGTGGACAGCTGTGAAGGTGAGAAATGTGATATAAAGCCAGCAGAGCATACACGTTATCATGGTGAAAAAAACACGTTTAAAAAAAGGTGTATGTGTGAACAGAGGTTGACACACTACTGTGAAATTCAGAACACAATTTATCTGCAGACCCAGAGAGCTTTGAAACCTCAGACGAGCAGACGGAAGACCTGGAAGCCCTGACCTTTGATGACCTGCTGAGCTTTGCCTTCCAAGTGGCAAGAGGCATGGAGTTCCTCTCCTCCAAGAATGTAGGCGGCAAACACCAGACAAACATCTGTCACCTAGCCTCTCTGCAGAAACACATTTAGTCTTTTGTGTTCCTCTGTGTTGATGATTAATTTAGACCTATATTGGCAGACCAAACCTGAAACACCTGTGTTAGTTTCTTAGTTCTTTGCATTTTGTCATAATATATCTATATTTAGGAGATTTGGAATTTTATAAACCGCACAGTTCAAGGGGAAATAATTTAAATATAACTAAAATAAAATTGCATATCCAAATAAATACACAAAACATATGCTGATGACTGCTCCTTTTGTCTGCAGTGTATCCATCGGGACCTGGCAGCTCGAAATGTCTTAGTGACAAACGGCAGGCAGGTGAAAATCGGTGACTTTGGACTCGCCCGGGACATCGACAACGACTCCAACTACGTCGTGAGAGGAAACGTATGTTGGATGATCCTTTGGTCATTTTATATTATTCACTGACTCTTATGTTAATCACTGTGGGTGGGTGACTGAGCCTTGCTGTCTCACAGGTGCGTTTGCCAGTAAAGTGGATGGCTCCTGAGAGCATCTTTCAGGGAATGTACACCATGAAGAGCGATGTCTGGGCTTACGGCATTCTGCTCTGGGAGATCTTCTCACTCGGTAACTTTCACAAACATTAACTCATTGTGAGCAGCACATTCAAAAGATAAACAATCAGTTCTAACGTCTCAATGATGTTTGTCGCAGGTGTCACTCCATATCCGGGCATAAAGGTGGATCATATGTTCTATTCAATGATTGAGAGAGGATTTAAGATGGAGTGTCCATACTATGCCAACGAAACTGTGTAAGTCTCATCTTAAATGTTTCATAAATGTACTAGGTTGTTTTAAGAAAACTATTATTTTAGGATTCAAATAAAGACAGAATCACATTAATACATCAGTAAAAATCAAAAATAATACTCTATTTCTGTTCTGTTTTGAAACTTTAGCTATTCTGGACTTTTAAATATAATTTTTGCTTTTATTAAGTCAGTAGTGTTGTGAATGTTCTTCTGCAGGTACGGGATGATGCACAAGTGTTGGGCCCTGGCTCCTGCTAACCGCCCCTCTTTCTCCAAGTTGGTGTCCTTTCTGTGTGACCTGCTCCTAGACCAAGAGGAGAACGTAGGCCTTAAAGAAAATCTCAATATTTGTGTTAAATTATACTCAAACATATATGTGAATGTAGCAGCGTAATCACTATCAACATTCACTTTTTGCAGCTCTACCAAAACACAATCAATCAGACTTGCAGCGACTACCAGAATGCGTCGACCATCATTGACATGTCTGCCTTGACCAAAGCAAGCGAAGAAAAGAAAACCCAGGCCACCAATGACTACTGTCAAACCTGCGCCACTGAAGAAAAGAGAGCAGAAACATGTGACAGAGACACTGTGGCAGCTGAGAAGGAGCTTCTGAAACCATCCGATGCAGAGTGATCGCCTTTATACCTTTATTTTTATCCGTATATCCAACAGCTTGCATAACAATACTGATAAAATGGTACTAACCTAAGATTTTAGAGTAGAATGTACTTGCTTTATATTATATTCAAGGATAGCAAGCAGTTTTGTTTTTAAAGTTTTAAAGTTTTTTTTTATTTTGTGCAGTTTTTATTGTGCAGCTACAAAATACAATTAATTATGAAACTAAAATATTCAGAGGAATGTACTTTAGAGATGTAGCTATGGAAAAAAGATTTCTCCATTATGTTTATATGAAGACTCAGGAATTTATTACATCCATCCATCCATCCATCCATCGTCATCCGCTTTGTCCGGGGTCGGGTCGCGGGGGCAGCAGCCTAAGCAAAGAGGCCCAGACCTCCCTCTCCCCAGCCACCTCCTCCAGCTTGTCCGGGGGAATACCAAGGCGTTCCCAGGCCAGCCGAGAGATATAATCTCTCCAGCGTGTCCTGGGTCTGCCCCGGGGCCTCCTCCCGGTGGGACATGCCTGGAACACCTCACCCAGGAGGCGCCCAGGGGGCATCCTTGTCAGATGCCCGAACCACCTCAACTGGCTCCTTTCGATGTGGAGCAGCAGCTGCTCTACTCTGAGCCCCTCCCGGATGGCCGAACTTCTCACCCTATCTCTAAGGGAGAGGCCAGCCACCCTTCGGAGGAAGCTCATTTCTGCCGCTTGTATCCGCGATCTCGTTCTTTCGGTCACTACCCACAGCTCGTGGCCATAGGTGAGGGTAGGGACGTAGATCGACCGGTAAATTGAGAGCTTCGCTTTTACACTCAGCTCCCTCTTCACCACGACGGACCGGTGCAACGTCCGCATTACTGCAGCTGCTGCCCCAATCCGTCTGTCGATCTCCGGCTCCCTTCTCCCCCGAGATACTTGAACTCCTCCACTTGGGGCAGGAACTCATCCCCGACCCGGAGTGGGCACTCCACCCTTTTCCGGCTGAGAACCATGGCCTCAGATTTGGAGGTGCTGATCCTCATTCCCGCTGCTTCACACTCGGCTGCGAACCGTTCCAGTGCGAGCTGGAGGCCTTCACCCGATGAAGCCAACAGAACCACATGTTGCATATATTTTGTTATACATGGCAATGTAACGTCTATGTTTTTTTGAATGCATTTATACACCAGCAGAGAATGCAAGCATTATATTTTTTGTACACATTTATTTTTTTCATAATAAACTTTCTTTATATATTTTACTGGAACTTTTACACTATATTACATTTTATCTACAGCATTTTATGTTCCAGCATTACACCTGCAATAAAATGTACTTTAAATAAAGAAACTAATTTGGCCATGCCTGGTGTTTCCTCGGCTGTTTTATTCGAGTCTTGTCAAAGAAATAACAATCAGAATTTTTTTTCATAAGCATTTCACAGGAAAATACTTTTTATATATACAAATTGTATTTTTCTCTTTAATGGTTTTGTGTTATACTAGAGTACAACACATTTGAGTGAAAACAAACTGTGCCTGACTTTACAAATTAAGATTTGTTGGAAAAACCACTGATCAGGTACTAAAATCTGATGTTCCTAAGCTGTGGTCTGTGTCCTCTTCCCCCAGGACTGTGAGGCCAAGCGCAGCTCCAGTGTCATCATTAAATATGTGATGAGCATGATCATCAGCCTTCTGACAGAATAGTGTTTTTCTTAACAACCTTGCCCTGATTGTAAACAAGACTGAGGAGCTGACTGTGGGTTTCAGGGTGAATAGGGAAGAGCATGCCCGCTTTTACATCAACTGAGCTCCAGTGGAGCAGGTCAGCGAGTTTAAGAGCCCCAGCTTTCTGAGGTCCTTGCACAGCAGCTCCATTCAAAGTATCCTGCTGTATCATCAGGTTTGGAAGCTGCACTGTAGAGGAATGCAACGCTCATCAGAGATTTTACTTATTTATTTATTTGCTCTTTTGCCAGACATATGCACTTTTATTTTCGAGTTTTACACATATCTAAAATATGGTATCTTATTTTGTGGAGCTCTGTAACAAAAGTTTTTTCAGACACTTTTTACTTTTTAAAATCTGTAATGTTACAATAAAGCTGAATGTGAATCCTCAAGCACAGCAGCTATAGACAGGAGTCCACTGCTCAAAGCACCACTACGTGGAAGACACAAACATAGAGGTTTGTGTTGCCACAGCGCCACCTTGGGGAATTTCAGGAAATCCAAAAGTTAACCAGGAGATGTAATTCCAAAAATATATACCACCTTATTCACTTTAAAGATGACAAGTCAGGATGAATTTCAGTTAAAGTTTAAAATATTTGTAAGTGTTTCATATAATGCTAAAGGTCGAAGCTGCTGCCTGTGATGACAGGGGATAAAGGCGAAGCGAGCAGATCCTGACAGACTCATCACAAAGGGAAGGATATGCTGGCTCAGCCCATCGCTCCTACGCAGCAAAACAAAGGAATAAATCAATCATAAAATCACAGTAGAACAAATGAATAATGACTCCTAGTCAAGATGAGCTTGGACTATAAAATTCAATAGAATTTGCAAAAGGATCAGATTCTTCTGATTACAAA